GGAGGGATTATTTAACAAAAATTGGGAAATATAGAAATCAAAACAGGAAGATTTATTACCTTGATGAAACGTGGGTAAACGCAGGACACACTACAAGTAAAGTATGGGTTGATGATTCTGTAACTTCATCCAGGAGGGCCTTTCTAGATGGACTGTCCACCGGATTAAAAAATCCAGCAGGTAAATACGAGTAATAGACAACAATCGGATGTTTTTCAAACCTTGGGAACAAGCTTCTAAACGTTAATTCCAGGGGGCAGATAAAACATATTACAAGTAACAAAACTTTTATAACTTTCGATAAAATGCGTGGATGTTTTATTGTCATTTTCATTTGTTAGAACTTTTTTAAGCCATGTTTTTATGTGTTTTCGATATTTCAATAATTTTTTAATATAATCTTAAAATATGTCGAATATTATAAACTTAAAAAAAGTTACTAAGTTTTATATTGTGTACCGTTCCTAATATTTCTAATCATTTTAATTCATACTTTAAGCTTTATAAAGTTATAATTTGTTAATATTAATATTTGCGCGTATTTCAGGTTCCTGATCATTCATTTTTTAAAGGTTTATAACTTTAAATTAAATTGTGAAGCGCTGAGTAATCATACGGCGTTCAATATTCTTTCTTTCAATATGACTAAATAATCCCAATTATAGCAATCTGATACTCATGTCTCAATGTTTTTTCGCTGAATGTGATGAAAACATTTGAAAAAGGTTCGCTTATTGAAATAAATCTACACCAGTTAGTACTTCGATTTCCAGGTAAAGGGAAAAGGCTCATTATCTGCCATATTGGCAGTGAGGATGGATTTGCTGTTGACGGTCTGTGGTGCTTTGAGTCTAAGAAAACTGGAGATTACCACGAGGAAATGAATGGCGAATCGTTTGAACAGTGGTTTTCAAAAATTTTACCGAACTTAGAGGAAAACGCAGTAATTGTGTTGGATAATGCGCCTTATCATTTTCGAAGAATGGAGAAGGTCCCAACAACGGCTTCAAGGAAAGTTGATGTTCAAAATTGGCTCCACTCGAAAAATATCAACTTTGAAGAAGCAATGCTGAAAGTCCCGTAGAAATCGCGTAACTACTTTGTACGATAACCACAATAAAATTTGCTGCGCAAGTAATTAAATAGCCCTATATCACAGTGTAGCTCATCATAAACCTTTGAATGAAATTCACAATGGCCAAAATATGTAAGTAAACAAGATGACTGTAATGTCTTAGTTATATATTCTTCACTTCGCCTATACAATGTATAATAAATAGTTTGGTTGCAATAAAGTAGAATCATGTAACAGAACAGTTGAATAGTTGGCAAAAACTGAATCTTGCACTGACGCAAATGTTCTATAGCGGCTGCAAGAGGTTTACACTTTTGTTGTATAACTGTTACCTGCAGCCCTTATACAACCTCTTAAATGACTGAAGTGTCCTATTAGGTGTGCCCATTCCGCTTGTATAGCTGTTCTAAGAGCGTTTTGCCAATGTTCTTACAGCATACAATGCTGTGCAAGGAATACTGTATAATCATTCTTGCAACTCTAGGAGTGATAATTGTTAGTTGGGGATGTTTTGCTTCCAAAGCTCGCGAAAGAGATATTATGTTTTTTAGATTCCATATGACATGTACAGTAATGGACACTATATAGTCAAATATGAATATTTACCTAAAAACCTTTAGAAAACGGATTCATACTTCATTGCTCCATAAACAAATGCATTATTAGTAGAAAAACTAAATTCCTTGTTTTCACATTATCTGCAATACAACACAATACAAATCTGAATATAAGCACTTCTTTATGAGGGACAAAAATATGTAGACAAGTTCTTTTCAACATTAGTTTAGTACAGTTTCGTGTCAGAAGAGGATTAGTTTGTGTTCATCAAGTATTGTGGAATAAGTTGAGTGATTTTAGATCATGCCATGTGGTACAGAAATTTCTTTCGATTTGAAAACTAAGATCATTGAGTTATACAAAGATGGTTAACATCAAGTCGACATTGCCAAAAATTTGAAGCTGAAGCGTAAAGCAGTTTGGGCAATATTGAACAAATATAAACCAAAAAGATATCTTGAAAGCCTCTAAAAGAAGTGGTCGGCCTAGAAAACTAAACGCTAGATCAGTTAGATTAATAAATGTAATTTCGTTTAAAACCTCAAGACAAATAAAAGCCGAAATCGAGACAAAAGGAATTGTCAGTGTTTCTACGAAAACTATAAGTAGAAGATTAAATGATTTGAAGTTAATTACACGTCTCCCGAGTAAGAAGCCGCTAATCTCGAGGAAGGACCGGCTACAATTTGCACGGTTCCATCTTGATTGGAGCATCTGTGACTGGAAGAGGGTATGTTTCAGTGACGAATCCAGGTTCAATATGTTTGGATCAGATGGTGTTCATTACGTTAGACGTCCTAGTGGACAAAGATTGAACCCCAAGTACACTTTGTCCACTGTCAAACATGGAGGCGGGTCTGTTATGGTTTGGGGTGCTTTTCGGGGTTTCGGATGGGACCTTTACATAGAATAGATGGCATTATGGATAAGTTTGTATACACAGACATACTAAAGCATGTCATGTTACCCTATATGGAAGACAATATGCCCTTAAGATCAATCTTCCAGCATGATAATGACCCGAAGCACACTTCAAATCTCGCAAAGAAGTTCTCAAATATGAGATAAACATTATTCAAACAAGGATGAACTTTTTGCCGCTTTAGAGCAGAAGAGGAGACAGATTGATAAATCTTATATCAAGAAACTTCTACAATCTATGGCGAGAAGATGCCAGGCGGTGATTGATAATAATGGTTATGCTACAAAATATTAACACAAACATGGTTGGTTTTCTACAATGCAATGAACTTTGCTTCTTTTTTCTATAATTACTTTGCTTTGTCTATATATTTTTGTCCTTCATAGTTCCAGTTTTTTTCAATTAATTTTTTACTGAAGGGAGTCTAATGAATTTATTTATGTATAAGTGAGTATTATGCTATAACGAATTCTGTATACAGGTTGGTGTATTAATAAAACAAGTTAAAAAAGAAATACACCACAACATTAATTTGTCTATATACTTTTGACCATTACTGTTCATCACGAACAGGCAGGAGTATTATCTGGAAGACGTTAAAAAAAACGACAAAATGTCATCTTTTTGGTAAAAAGGTCCAAAACATACCATAACGTGACGGCAGTTAGCCGTCAGCTAGTGTGTAAACAATTTTGGAAGTAAAATCTGAATCAATAAATTAATTTTCACTATCCCAAGATTGTCACAAATGTAACTGACAGCAAATTAAATTCTTTCTTTCCCTTAGCAACAATTAACAGGTATAACAATAAATACAGTTCGCCCATGATATCTGTGTTGATGAAAAGAATGCGGAAAAAATTCGGGTTGTTATTTGTATGGTGCCACGCCTAATCTTCCGAATTGCTGTTCAAGTTGGTAGTTTCAGTTTTAAATTATAAACGAATTGTAGATTTGGCAAATCCTAACGGGCAACATTTTGAACACTTATTGAAATAAAAAGTGACATTTTCGTGAGTTTTTGTTTAAGATAATTTGAGTCATACTTGCTAAATCGTCAACACACAGTGAAAACTGATCAGGGAATTTCCTCCTCTGAGCCAGTTCCTTCAGGAGTTCCTCAGGGCTCAGTATTAGGTCCCTTACTATATCTGATTTATAGGATTGATCTGCAAGACTGTTTAGTCCACTGTAGTATGTAAACTTATGCAGATGATACTCAGTTAGTGTTTGGTTTCGATCCATCAAAGGTTGATGAAGTTTCTTTTAAAGTTAATTTAGATTTGGCTAACATCGGTGATTACTGTAACAAACACTGCTTGAAGATCAATTCCAATAAAACTACTGCAATGTTGTACTGTTCGAAGAACTCCTATCGTGAAATGAAGCAGAGGATTTGTGTTTTTTTGGATGAGACACTCATCCCTTTTGTGGATTACGCCAAGAATCTAGGTGTTACCCTTGATTTAAATATGAGATTCGATCGGCATGTCTCTTTCTTGTCTAGAGTAACATATTTGCGTTTGGAACTCCTCTATTTCAATCGATACATCTTGAATTTTAAAACCCGAAAAAAGCTCGCTGAAAGTCTTGTGTTGTCTGTCATTTCTTACTCTCTTGTTCTGTATTACCCATGTTTAGACTACGTCCACAAAAGGAAACTTCAGAAAATTCAGAACAGCTGTTGTAGTTTTATTTTTAGATTGCGCGTCTCAGATAAAATCAAAGAACTTAACTGGTTGCGAATTGATAAGTTATTTTTATATCTTTTGACCGTCTTCACGCATAAAGTTCTACTATCTAACAGACCAGCTTACCTCGCTAGCAAATTAGTTCACCGAGGTAGTTTTGTTACCAGAGCTCTTAGATTTAATGCTAATTTTAACATGCCTCCTCACAATACCTCGGTCTTTGAAAGAAGTTACACCTATAATGCTGTCAAGCATTACAATGCAGTCAACAGTGGCTATCGATCCAAACCGGTTGTTTCTTTTAAGAAATTAATGAAAAGTCAGCTGCTGGAGTCCATTTAGTTCAGTTTTTCATGTGCTCATGTGGTTTTTTTTTTAATTTTTTTTTGTTTGACTATTTTCTACTATTTTTGTTTCAAATTTAAAACTCTGGCAATACTATCTGTATTTGTCTTGTGCAATCAATGTTGTGATTCTTATGAATTGTATATTTTTTTTTGTATGTTATCATTTTGCTTATGTGTTTAAGTATTATTTTTTTCCTGTCGTGGGGTTGAGTGTAAGAGTAGCCGTCTAGCTAAACTTCGCCTCACTGCAGTTAATAAAGGCATTATTATTATTATTATAATTTTCTCAAAAACGAATCGATTGATTTGAAAAAATCAAACGTCAAAATGAAGGACTGCGGAAGACCTTCAAAACAAGCTTTTACTCGACACACCTTGTCATTCAAAATTTTAAGGGAATAACCCTGGTGGACCGAGGGTGGAAGGAGATGAAGTAGTTTTTGGTTAAACAACTGTCCCCTTGACAAAACTTTTGACGTTTTTTCTTTTAATCAGTTTTCAAATGAACATCCTGTATCTGTAATGAAACATCTAAATAATATCAATATCTCAATTCTTGATACATCAGATCCTCAAGTCGTCAACATTGCTCACTCTATGTTTCTAACTCCAGTGGATAACATAGAGTTACAACAAATAGTTTGTAATCTGAAAAATAATAGCGCACCCGGAAAAGATGGCTTACACACTAAAACTATCAAGATGATCATGAAGTATATCAGTCTCCCTATAACTCACATTATCAACCTCTGTTTCAAATCCTCAGTAATTCCTCGCCAATTTAAAGAAAGCATAGTGACACCAATATTTAAATCTGGAAGTAAAGACAATATGTTCAATTATAGACCTATTTCAGTTATCAATGTATTTGGGAAGATTTTTTAGAAGTGTTTGAATAACAGACTTTGTTCTTTTCTTGAGAAATATGACATAATATCGAACTGTCAATTTGGGTTCCGCAAAAATTGCAATACAGAGCAATCTCTACAAGAACTTACAGGACAAGTGCTTGAAAATTTTCAAGATGGAAATAAGACTGTTGCAGTTTTCCTAGATCTTCAAAAGGCTTTCGATTCAGTATCTCATACAATTTTATTAAAGAAACTAGAAAGTGTTGGAGTGCGTAGCGGAGTTCTGAACTTATTTGAGAATTATTTGGCAGATCGATTACAACAAGTTAAGGTATGGTCAGATTTAAGCAACATTCAAAATAGGTGTGCCTCAGGGGACGGTTTTGGGACCAACACTGTTCCTCATATACATAAATGAACTACTTCGATGTAATTTCAACTGTAAAATGATATCATATGCAGACGATACTGTTTTAGTTTGCACTGGTCATTCATGGGATGACGCAATACGGAATGCCGAGTTGTCTTTAAATAAAGTCAAATGCTGGTTGGATAACAATTTACTTAAACTTAATATCTCTAAAACTAAGTATGTAACGTTTTCTCCAACCAAAGCAGGCATGCCATTACACCACCGCACATTAATTATAAATGATAGTGCTGACACTGTCGAAAGAGTTGAAGTTATTAGATACTTAGGAATCACTATTGACAGTAATTTAAAATGGCGAGCTTGTGACATCGAAATTAAGGAGAATTATTCATAAGTTTTTCATTCTTAGGAATATTTTAAGCAGAAAGAGTCTTCTCTCAATATATAACTCGTTTGTGGGGTCTCTACTAACTTACGGGATAAGTATTTGGGGAGCCGCATACACTAGTACTTTAAAAATACTACAAACCACGCAAAATTATATTGTCAGGACTATTTTTCGTATCCCATGTACTATAGGTCAAGTTGCAGATTTGTTTACATTGAAAATGATCTTTTGAATGTTAGAGGTTTATATATTTTTGCTGCTATAAAATTTGTTCACTCCCGAAACAATGTTCCAACCAGCCACGCTTATGAAACAAGAACAAAAATAAATATAAGTTACACCTATACCAGAGTGAATAAATCTGTTTGTCAAAAATCCATAAAGTTTGATGGTATTAGGTTGTATAATAAATTACCCCTAGAATATAAAATCCTCTCGAAGTATAGTTTCAAAAAAAGAATTAAGAAGTTCATCTTAAATAACTTTGACATGCTTGCATCGACGGTAGCTTGACTCAACTCAGTAATTTCGTTTCTATCTAATGTTTTTCTTTTTTTTATACATTTTGCTCATAATATACCTTACGACTATTAGCCATGCATTGAATTTGTATATTGTATGACACACACAAGCTTATAGCTTAGGTGTCTATTCTTTTGTAGTAAATTCTTTTGTAGTAAATTGTAGTACTCTTGTTTCTCTGCTTTTTTTTATTTGTAAGTTATATTGGCCTTTGAATTTGGTCTTTGAATTTGAATATGGAATATGCAAGATGGCACGCCTCCCCTCCTTTATTGGCATGGGAAGAAATAAGGACAAAGAAATAAATATGCAATTTCCTCAAAGAAATATATAAACTGCAAATCGAAGAAATGTATCCACCAGATACAGCAAATCCGCACACATCGTTTGCGAAATCCATACGTAATGCATTTCCCTTCATTCTTCATCTTTCACACAGCTTTTCCTGTATCCTTGTTGTTTCATGCTTATATCGGGAATATAGACCGGGCCAAATAAATTCTATTTTAGAAAAAAACTCACACTCCAACAGCCATTCCGGTACGGAATGAGTAAGAACCGAAATTGAGTATTTTTTATGCGCTGACTTCATCTCTTTTTTCGTAGCAGATGTAGTTTTTGAGATATCAGTGGAAACTTTGCTACTTTCGATTACGAAAAACATTATCAAAAAACGAAAAAATCTCAAAGTTTCTTTAACTCCTAATATCTTTAACAATCGGCACAATCGCGCGGCTTTTTAAGGAGCATCGTTATAATCAAAGATTGTCTTTAATTGCTTATACTTTCTTTATTTTTTCGTAATAACATTACGGGTGATTTTTTAAGAGGTATAGGATTTGATTTTCAAAAAAAAAATAAAAAATTTGAAAAAACGATTAAATCTTTATTTGAGTCGATAGAACGGTTGATATAATTTAATGTTTAAAGATTATTTCATGTAAATGTTGGCCGCGGCTCCGCTTTAGATGGCCCATGCGCAAGGTCCAATTTTGGCACACTCTCTCCAACATATCGGCCGGTATCTCACGAATAAATGCTTCAATATTGGCTTCCAGTGCGTCAATCGTTGCTGGTTTATCCCTGTAGATATTAGCCTTAACATGGCCCCACAAGAAATAGTCCAACGGCGTTAAATCACACGATCTAGGAGGCCAATTGACGGGCCCCAAACGTGAGATAAACTGTTCACCGAACTTGCCTCTCAATAGTGCCATTGTTTCGTGTGCGGTGTGGCATGTGGCACCGTCTTGTTGAAACCACATGTCAGCCAAGTCCAGCTCTTCCATTTTGGGCAAAAAAGTTTGTTATCATCGCACGGTAGCGCCCGCCATTCACAGTTACGTTCCGGCCATTGTCGTCTTTGAAGAAGTGGTAGCTCTTGCAATGTTTCTGGCTGGTCTTCACTCCAGTTGCGGCAATTTTGCTTGTTAACGTACCCATTCAACCAGAAATGAGCTTCGTCGCTGAACACAATTTTTCGATAAAAATGTGGATCTTCCTCCAACTTTGCCAGCGCCCATTCACCAAATGGGAAACGTTGTGGGATGTCGTGTGGCTTCAATTCTTGCACCAGCTGTATCTTATAAGGTTTTACACCCAAATCCTGTCGCAAAATTTTCCTCGTAGTGGAGTAACACAGGCCCAATTGCTGAGAACGGCGGCGAATCGACATTTCACGGTCATCACTAACACTGGCGGATACAGCCGCAATATTTTCTTCAGTTCTCACTCTACGTCTGCGTGTGGGTGGTTTAATGTCCAATAATGTAAACTGGGTTCGAAATTTAGTCACAAGCTTCCGAATAGCTCCCTCAGTAGGCCGACCAAATTGCCCATAAATTGGAAGCAGTGCTCGATGCACTCTCTTAACCGAGCATGAATTTTGATAGTAAAATTCAATAATTTTCTAGCGTTGTTCGTTCGTAAGTCGATTCATGGTTAAATTAGAGACCAAACTGAACAAGTTTGACAATGACACAAGACACGATTCACGCGTCATCTGTCAAAAACAGTGTTGCCAAAAAGATACTAGCAAAAAATCACCCATTATTAACCGCTGCAGCCAATGGAATATAAAAGGTATAATTTTGAAGGTATTTTCATCCCCTACAGTATCGCGATAGTTCCTAGTTTCTCTAAAAATGGGGTTATACAATAAGGAAGTAATTTCTACCTATGGTGCCTTTTCATTAACTCGCGAAAATATAATTTAGTTGCAAAACCCATCCAAATATTTTTCTGAAATTCCAGATATCCTGGTCTATATACTCCATGCTTAACGGATGTGATACTATTGCGCAGAGCCCCAAAGCTATCTTCCGATCGTAAACTTTTATAGCTTATGGATATCGCCCACATCAACGTCGTCTCATAAAAGGGAAAGCTGAACTCCCACTTAATGTGCAGTTGTAAATCGTGGACAAGAGATTTTTGTCGACTTATGCGTTGTATACTGCGTGTGGAAAATGATGTGCATGGGTGATATAAGTTGTCGATGACGTAGTACCAACTTATCTCTAAGCGACTTTAAATGGGGAGTTTATTTTCCACAGTATTGTATACTAAGTGACATATAAATCCGAACACCCAGTTTAAATGGTTTTATTTTAATAAAAGTTGGTGAATGTATTTATCTTACTGTAAGTAACAAGTGAAAAAATTTTCAGTTTTTCGTGATATAACGTCCAAAAATATAACATCTCATTTTCGAAATTTTTCGTGATTACAATACTTCCTCGCCAGTGGCGTGGGAAGTAATAATCCAAATGGCTTAAGGCTGGCAAAAGTTTTTAAACCACTTTATCGATATCTAAACCAAATTAATATTGAAACGCTGCCTATTGCTGTTTAAAACAGACATATTTTTCAGAACCCAGACACAACAAACCGCACAGTTATGACAGCTCATAAAATGCTCGGACACAAAACGAGCGGTGTTGGCATGGCAAACGAATCGACAACAATCTAGCTAACAATCGACGGGATTTCCTTGCTTATCTCGGCATTGCCAACCAGAGGTAATTTAAAAAATACGATATTGGGCTAGGCTGTTCAATCCAAGCGAATTCACCATTTTTTAAAGTGTTTCCCAATGTACGTTTTCATGGGTTAAAACATCTGTGTGTACAGTATTAACAAAATTCTCTATTACTTATACAGGGTGGCCCATCCATGTGTGAACGGAATATTACTCATAAACAAATACATTTTGAGAAAACATATTTATAGCATGTTATACATGACATTTCAGGGCACATTTATAAAATATTGACAATTACACAGGGTGTCCCAATTTTGACCTAAGAGCCCCTTCCCACTTCAGTTGGCCCACCAAGATGTGTACCAAAATATGCCTTTATAAACTAAACATGAAGAAACTATTTACTTCTAAAACAATTTATTTTCTCAAAAACATTTTAGATACACTCTAATCGTAAAAAATACATATTTGAAATCACTTAGACCTATAACTAATAGAACATCTGAACAAATAAACAATGTGCGAATAAATGCGCGAAGTTAACAAAGCAACAATTGAAAGATTACCATTGGGTAACATCACCTTTATTTTTTATTACGGCTGAAATTCTTTGGGGCATAGTGTTAACCAAGTTTTGGAAAAAATTTGGTGTAAAACAATCCCATATTTCTTGAAGTTTTTGTCTCATTTCGGTGATTGTACGAGCAGGATGTTGTCGTAGATCCTTTTTCATCTCGTGCCACAAAGTTTCAATAGATGACAGATCTGGACTGCTAGAAACCCACTTCAAAAT